TTAAAGTAGAGACACTACATACTGATATACACCTGAACATCAGTAGGAGAGGACTCTTTAAAGTAGAGACACTACATACTGATATACACCTGAACATCAGCAGGAGAGGACTCTTTAAAGTAGATACACTACATACTGATATACACCTGAATATCAGCAGGAGAGGACTCTTTAAAGTACAGTCACTTCATACTGATATACACCTGAACATCAGCAGGAGAGGACTCTTTAAAGTAGAGACACTACATACTGATATACACCTGAACATCAGCAGGAGAGGACTCTTTAAAGTAGAGACACTACATACTGATAAACACCTGAACATCAGCAGGAGAGGACTCTTTAAAGTAGAGACACTACATACTGATAAACACCTGAACATCAGCAGGAGAGGACTCTTTAAAGTAGAGACACTACATACTGATATACACCTGAACATCAGCAGGAGAGGACTCTTTAAAGTAGAGACACTACATACTGATATACACCTGAACATCAGCAGGAGAGGACTCTTTAAAGTAGAGACACTACATACTGATATACACCTGAACATCAGCAGGAGAGGACTCTTTAAAGTAGAGACACTACATACTGATATACACCTGAACATCAGCAGGAGAGGACTCTTTAAAGTAGAGACACTACATACTGATATACACCTGAACATCAGCAGGAGAGGACTCTTTAAAGTAGAGACACTACATACTGATATACACCTGAACATCAGCAGGAGAGGACTCTTTAAAGTAGAGACACTACATACTGATATACACCTGAACATCAGCAGGAGAGGACTCTTTAAAGTAGAGACACTACATACTGATATACACCTGAACATCAGCAGGAGAGGACTCTTTAAAGTAGAGACACTACATACTGATATACACCTGAACATCAGCAGGAGAGGACTCTTTAAAGTAGAGACACTACATACTGATAAACACCTGAACATCAGCAGGAGAGGACTCTTTAAAGTAGAGACACTACATACTGATAAACACCTGAACATCAGCAGGAGAGGACTCTTTAAAGTAGAGACACTACATACTGATATACACCTGAACATCAGCAGGAGAGGACTCTTTAAAGTAGAGACACTACATACTGATATACACCTGAACATCAGCAGGAGAGGACTCTTTAAAGTAGAGACACTACATACTGATATACACCTGAACATCAGCAGGAGAGGACTCTTTAAAGTAGAGACACTACATACTGATATACACCTGAACATCAGCAGGAGAGGACTCTTTAAAGTAGAGACACTACATACTGATATACACCTGAACATCAGCAGGAGAGGACTCTTTAAAGTAGAGACACTACATACTGATATACACCTGAACATCAGCAGGAGAGGACTCTTTAAAGTAGAGACACTACATACTGATATACACCTGAACATCAGCAGGAGAGGACTCTTTAAAGTAGAGACACTACATACTGATATACACCTGAACATCAGCAGGAGAGGACTCTTTAAAGTAGAGACACTACATACTGATATACACCTGAACATCAGCAGGAGAGGACTCTTTAAAGTAGAGACACTACATACTGATATACACCTGAACATCAGCAGGAGAGGACTCTTTAAAGTAGAGACACTACATACTGATATACACCTGAACATCAGCAGGAGAGGACTCTTTAAAGTAGAGACACTACATACATGCATGGCAGTTTAAAATACAAATAAACAAAGAATACAGTTAAACAAAAGACAAATTTTCATATTATATCTTGTTCATGTTTCCACATCTTCCTTTCAGATCCAAAACCAATCAGTGAAATGACATGCTGGGGAAATGCCATTTCATTATTAATGAGGTTGTGTTTTATGCATTTGTTCTGGTTCTGGGTGCTTTCCTGAAGCTGTTTTTGCTCCAAAGACTCTCCGCTTGGGTAAAAGTAAATTAAAATGTTCTGGTTTCCAAAGAGCCTAATGCACCACACACACTGAGTGATTACACAGTGTGTGTGTGTGTGTGTGTGTGTGTGTGTGTGTGTGTGTGTGTGTGTGTGTGTGTGTGTGTGTGTGTGTGTGTGTGTGTGTGTGTGTGTGTGTGTGTGTGTGTGTGTGTGTGTGTGTGTGTGTGTGTGTGTGTGTGTGTGTGTGTGTGTGTCATAACAGAAGCACAGAGGGCTCATTCACATGTCTCCTGGATCCAATTTAAGAGGATTTTTACGGGGGTCTTTTGTCTTTCTGCTGCCGGATTGCCCAACATCCTTTCCTCATCCTGTCCTGAACATATTTTTTATCATCATAGTCTTCAGAAAGGAGTCAGATATAAAAATACAAATGTTCCACATGAAGAAACATCTTCAGCAACTTGACAACACATGCAGCATTTAGAGAACATTCAGCAACTTGAGGAAACATGCGCAGCGTTTACTAAAAGCTCAAAACACAACGGAGACCAGGGGACACTAAAAAATGATGCAAAAATGTAGCGACCTTGCGTGGGGCCCTTTGGATCACACCCACAAAGTTTGAGGGCCATGCACACCTGTTGACCCTATTAACACACTTAGGAGATATACATGTCCATGGTCACTTCAAATACATAACTGCCGGGTCTCGGGTATTTGAAATATACAGGCTCATATCTCGACAATCCCTTGACACAGGAAGCTGATACTTGAACTGTGTCATGCCTCCAGCCCCTGGATTGAGTGTGTCGATTTCCGAGATGATTGAAGAACCTTTACCACAGGTCGTGTAGTGATGTATTTGAGGTGTACTGTCCACATCGCAGACCTGAGATCCTGCTGTCATGTATTTGTACTGTACACTTCAAATACTTAACCGCAGGATCTGGGGTATTTGAAATGTACAAGGTCATATCTCCACAATGCACTGGGACTGGAAGCTCACACTTGAACCATGTCACGCCTCCAACCCTCGGATTCAGGTGTCAAATTGGAGACATTTAGACAATTTCAAATTTTTCCCGCTCTTTTTAAACAAACATGATCTTTCAAATAAATGCTGAAGTGTTGCTCGGATTGGCATGAAAATCGCTGCAGCAAGAGATGAAGCAGGCCGAGTGAACAATCCATCGTCACATGCATCGTGGAGATGTGACTGTTCATGCATGACTGCAGCTCCTGTCTGAAGTTTAAGGGAGAAAAAGGTAGATTTTAGATGGAATAATTAACAGAATAATATTCCATGACATAAAAGGCCATGTCACAATTAACAAGGGAAACAACATTTTCAAATTATCCCGAAAATCATCAAAATTAAATGTTTTAAATGCCACAAAACATATTTAATGCACTACAACAAGATAATGTGTTTTCTTTATGTAAAGCAAAGACCTTCATCATCAACGCAGAGTCAGTTGGGTTCAGATCAGTGATTTTATTTCTATTTTCAGAATATTTATAATATTTATTTCACTGTTGTAGTGTATCCTGCTGTTGGAGTCGGCAGGCCTGTATTAATCATTCTGGCAATTAATCAGACCTACTAATTGACCTAACAGAAGCTATTGAGTCTATGTAAGTTTACTGCCAGGTTCGGATCCACCTGGATCAGCAAGGTCTCACCTCTACTAACTTCTGAAGCCTTTCAGTGTTATGATGTTGTATATTAATATAATCTTGGATTATAATTACTGATGCATGGAATGTGGTAGCAGCAGTACTTTAAGGTTGCCAGCCACAATGCTTAAATAGTTTCTTTCTGCTTCAGAGAGCTGAAGTTTGTATATATCACGCAGTCTGTCTTCCGGTTGCCTCTTTTGAATGACGAATACACACTACCGCCGCCTGTTGGTAAGGAGAGTTATTGCCATTCACGCATGCGCAGTGCGTACGTGCTACTTGGCCGCCGGCTGAAGTCTTTGCGGTGTGTTCCAGTGCGACTGTTGGCCAAGACGCAGGAGACGTGAGGCGACACAACAGTCGGGTCCGTCGGGACGTGTTCTTTGGTGTCAGTTTGGTGTGTCAGGGCCTTGAGGTGAGGTCCTACCTAAGTGTGAGTGTGGCAGTTGTGCAATCTTACCTTAAAGCAGGAGAGGACAGCGCAGATTTATTTCAAGTTATCCCAGTCCAAAAGGGTGGGATGATTTTATTTAAAGAAAATGGTCCACACTTTTACAGGGTTTTTACCTTCTCTCGTTACAATGTGACAATCATACAAAATATGTCATGCTGTGGTAAATTACTAAATCTCTCTTCAACTGTCACTCTTCAGTTGCATTAAAAACCTCTTCCGATGGAATTCAGAGGAAAACCCTCATAGACTACCAGGTGTGAAATCAAATACATTAAAATCTCTTCAACTGTCCCTCTTCAGTTGTGATACGAAATTCAACGGCCCTCTTCCGTTGGTAATATTAATATCTCTTCAAGAGTACTTAGGAAAAACCCCACTCTGAAGCTTTTCCTCTCTCAGCTATAGACCTTTTATGCTCCACACAAGGACAGAAAACCAAAGACACACCTACATACCCATATATGTGGGGAAAGGTCATGACCTCTGGTGTGCGAGACGGGACATATCCAGACTTGTCTCCTATGGTATGGCCTAAACACATTTTGGGGATCCAGTACTTTTCCATTTAGTCAGGGGTCTCCTCTCTACAGCCTGCTGTGAGTGAAGACAACTGTCTCCCCTCAGCTAAACAGTGACACCCATAGTGATAAACTATTAAGGCCTTAAACTCAATTTTCCAAACCACTTACATTTTGTATATATTGTGAGTGTCGAACAACATGAAATATAATGCATTTTCATTGTGGGTTATATAAGATTATATTTGATTATATGAACTTTCGTTTTAAAAATTCAACTCAATATGGAATCCTCAACTAAGCCACATTTTGGAGAAAACAATCAAATTCTCAAAAAAATGTTACATTTGGAGGAAAAAGTCAACATTTTGAGGAAAAAGTCAATATTTGGAGGGAAAAGTCAAAATGTGAGAATAAAGTCAAAAACTCTGAGAAATAAGTCAAATTTTGAGAAAAAAGTCAAAGGAGCTAACCTGAACAGGTAAGAGTCAGGAAGCGGGAAGAGGAACCTGAGAATGCACACTCCCTCAGAGCAGATCCAGACTGAACACAGAGAGATCTGATCCACCACACAGGTCTCTCTGAGGACTCCTCTCTCTCTCCCACAGAAACAGCAGAACCACAGTCCACATCTCTGCAGAGAACATCTGCTGCCTCCAGGGTCCAGGTAGAGCCCCCCACTGCTCTCCATTCTCCCTGATGTTTCACCTCCAGGTCTCCTGCACAGCGACTCTCTCCTCCCACCAGTCTGACCGGCTCTGAAGAGAAAAAAGAGAGTGATCAGAGAGAGAATAAAGTGAGTTTGATGAGAACAGAATGAACCAATCACAGCTCCTCTCTACCTGAGCAGGTGAGGCCAACAGCTCTGCCAGGTGAGCAGGTGTTTCTCTCTGAGGCTGAGCTACAGTCCAGGAGAGCAGACTCATTGCCTCCACACTGGAACTCTTTGGTCCACATTGGAGCCTCCCCTTCTCCATAGAGCGCCCCCTGGAGGACTGAAGGAGCCCCACAGCCCAGCTGCCTGCAGACCACCTGAGCATCCTGCTGGTCAAAGTCAGCCTCACACACTGAGGACCAGGACGGGTTAGACTGGTTAGACTTCACCTCCAGTCTACCTGAGCACAGACTGGTCCCATTCACCAGCCTGACAGAGTCTGGAGAGCACAGAAGATACATCTGAGGTAAAGAAACAGTTACTTTTAATTTTTATAGTATTTTCTTATTTATCTTTTATTTCTATTTTTTTATTTATTTAAAATCTAAATTTGTGAAAGAAGTCGAATATCTGAGAAAAAAGCCCACATTTTTAGGAAAAGTCAAATTGTGAGAAAAATGTCAAACTTTTACAAAACAAAAACTTAAAATTTTGAGGAACTTTCAAATTCTGAGAAAGAGTCAAAGAAGCTTACCTGAACAGGTAAGAGTCAGGAAGTAGGAAGAGTAACTTGAGGTTGCACACTCCCTCAGAGCAGATGCAGACTCAACACAGGTAGGACTGATCCTCCACGCAGAGCTCTTTGAGGACAACTGTCCCTCTCCCACAGAAACAGCAGAGCCACAGTCCAGATCTCTGCAGAGAACACCTGCTGCCTCCAGGGTCCAGGTAGGAAAACCAATCACTGGTCTCCATTCTCCCTGAAGCTTCAGCTCCAGAGCTCCTGCACAGCGACTCTCTCCTCCCACCAGTCTGACCGGCTCTGAAGAGAAACAAGAGAGTCATCAGAGAGAGAATAAAGTGGGTTTGTTGAAATGAACCAATTACAGATGTTGGGGTAATATTTTCCTCGGCCCATAACTCTGACCCAGTTTATCCGTTTGTACTGCCCTCGCTGAGCACAGGCCTGCTACCCTGGGCTGCTCTCAGTGTTTTGTCTCCCTGTTCTTGCCTGTTGGCTTCAGCTGATAGGTGCTATAGTGCTCCTCCTGTTTGATCTTGTTATGCACAATGTTGATTATTCTCTCAGAACTAGCTGAATACAGGGCTCTGGGGTAGAGATCTTCAGAATTGGTTTGGCAGAAGCTGTGTCACCTCGTGGCGGAAGCACGTCTTGTCAAATTCTCCGGCCGTAACTCCATAATAAACCCTCAGTGTTTGCCATCAGAGTTCCAGCTCTCCCCGTGTCTCTCTGAGCTCTGTCTCCATTGCTTCAGAAGTTTCCAGCACAACAGCTGCAGCTCCTCTATTTTATATTATATTTACATGTATAGAGACTTCTTGCACTATTTTTTATTTTTGTATTTTATTATATATGTTGCATTGTTGGAGGAGCTCAGGTCAGGAGAATTTCCTTGCCAATTCTACTCTGTAGCTTATGTGCATATGATAATTAAAACTTTGAATCTTTGAATCTTCTACCTGAGCAGGTGAGGCCAACAGCTCTGCCAGGTGAGCAGGTGTTTCTCTCTGAGGCTGAGCTACAGTCCAGGAGAGCAGACTCATGGCCTCCACACTGGAACTCTTTGGTCCACCTTGGAGCCTCCCCTTTTCCATAGAGCGCCCCCTGGAGGACTGAAGGAGCCCCACAGCCCAGCTGCCGGCAGACCACCTGAGCATCCTGCTGGTCAAAGTCAGCCTCACACACTGAGGACCAGGACGGGTTAGACAGGTTAGACTTCACCTCCAGTCTACCTGAGCACAGACTGGTCCCATTCACCAGCCTGACAGAGTCTGGAGAGGACAGAAGATACAACTGAGGTAAAGAAACAGTTACTGTTTTACTTTATTGTATTTTATACTTTAATTTATAACTTTTTTTTCTATTTTCTTATTTATTTAAAAATCAAAATTTGAGAAAAAAGTCAAATGTTGAGAAATCATTCAAATTTGGAGGAAAAGTCAAATTTCGAGGAAAAGTCAAACATTTTGGGAAAAAGTTAAGTTCTGAGAAAAAAGTCAAAGGAGCTTACCTGAACAGGTGACAGTCAGGAAGTGGGAAGAGGAAACTGATAATGCACACTCCCTCAGAGCAGATCCAGACTGAACACAGGCAGGTCTGATCCTCCACACAGATCTCTTTGAGGACTCCTCTCTCTCTCCCAAAGAAACAGCAGAGCCACAGTCCAGATCTCTGCAGACAACATCTGCTGTCTCCAGGGTCCAGAGAGAGTTAGAGCCCTTCACTGGTCTCCATTCTCCTTGTTTCACCTCCAGGTCTCCTGCACAGCGACTCTCTCCTCCCACCAGTCTGACCGGCTCTGAAGAGAAACAAGAGAGTCATCAGAGAGAGAATATAGTGGGTTTGTTGAAATGAACCAATTACAGATGTTGGGGTAATATTTTCCTCGGCCCATAACTCTGACCCAGTTTATCCGTTTGTACTGCCCTCGCTGAGCACAGGCCTGCTACCCTGGGCTGCTCTCAGTGTTTTGTCTCCCTGTTCCTGCCTGTTGGCTTCAGCTGATAGGTGCTATAGTGCTCCTCCTGTTTGATCTTGTTATGCACAATGTTGATTATTCTCTCAGAACTAGCTGAATACAGGGCTCTGGGGTAGAGATCTTCAGAATTGGTTTGGCAGAAGCTGTGTCACCTCGTGGCGGGAGCACGTCTTGTCAAATTCTCCGGCCGTAACTCCATAATAAACCCTCAGTGTTTGCCATCAGAGTTCCAGCTCTCCCCGTGTCTCTCTGAGCTCTGTCTCCATTGCTTCAGAAGTTTCCAGCACAACAGCTGCAGCTCCTTTATTTTATATTATATTTACATGTATAGAGACTTCTTGCACTATTTTTTATTTTTGTATTTTGTTATATATGTTGCATTGTTGGAGGAGCTCAGGTCAGGAGAATTTCCTTGCCAATTCTACTCTGTAGCTTATGTGCATATGATAATTAAAACTTTGAATCTTTGAATCTTCTACCTGAGCAGGTGAGGCCAACAGCTCTGCCAGATGAGCAGGTGTTTCTCTCTGAGGCTGAGCGACAGTCCAGGAGAGCAGACTCATGGCCTCCACACTGGAACTCTTTGGTCCACATTGGAGCCTCCCCTTCTCCATAGAGCGCCCCCTGGAGGACTGAAGGAGCCCCACAGCCAAGCTGCCTGCAGACCACCTGAGCATCCTGCTGGTCAAAGTCAGCCTCACACACTGAGGACCAGGACGGGTTAGAATGGTTAGACTTCACCTCCAGTCTACCTGAGCACAGACTGGTCCCATTCAGCAGCCTGACAGAGTCTGGAGAGGACAGAAGATAAAACTGAGGTAAAGAAACAGTTACTGTTTTTCTTTATTGTATTTCATACTTTAATTTATAACTTTTTTTTCTATTTTCTTATTTATTTAAAAATCAAAATTTGAGAAAAAAGTCAAATGTTGAGAAATCATTCAAATTTCGAGGAAAAGTCAAATTTGGAGGAAAAGTCAAACATTTTGGGAAAAAGTTAAGTTCTGAGAAAAAAATCAAAGGAGCTTACCTGAACAGGTGACAGTCAGGAAGTGGGAAGAGGAAACTGATAATGCACACTCCCTCAGAGCAGATCCAGACTGAACACAGGCAGGTCTGATCCTCCACACAGATCTCTTTGAGGACTCCTCTCTCTCTCCCACAGAAACAGCAGAGCCACAGTCCAGATCTCTGCAGACAACATCTGCTGTCTCCAGGGTCCAGAGAGAGTTAACGCCCCCCACTGGTCTCCATTCTCCTTGTTTCACCTCCAGGTCTCCTGCACAGCGACTCTCTCCTCCCACCAGTCTGACCGGCTCTGAAGAGAAACAAGAGAGTGATTGGAGAAAGAATAAAGTGAGTTTGATGAGAACAGAATGAACCAATCACAGCTCCTCTCTACCTGAGCAGGTGAGGCCAACAGCTCTGCCAGATGTGCAGGTGTTTCTCTCTGAGGCTGAGCTACAGTCCAGGAGAGCAGACTCATGGCCTCCACACTGGAACTCTTTTGTCCACATTGGAGCCTCCCCTTCTCCATAGAGCGCCCCCTGGAGGACTGAAGGAGCCCCACAGCCCAGCTGCCTGCAGACCACCTGAGCATCCTGCTGGTCAAAGTCAGCCTCACACACTGAGGACCAGGACGGGTTAGACGGGTCAGAGTTCACCTCCAGTCTACCTGAGCACAGACTGGTCCCCCCCACCAGCCTGACAGAGTCTGGAGAGGACAGAAGATAAAACTGAGATTAAGACACGGACACAAAACATTTCTGTAACAATATTTCCGAGACAGATACATTGTTATCCATTCTGGAATGCTTTGAACAACATCGGATAGAGAGAGGTCGAAGACACACAATAAAAGAGATGAAACAATATTTCAGAGAATCAAACTGGACTCAGTTCCAACATGAGTTCCTCTTAACAGCAGATCTTTAAATGCGCTATGTTACTGGTTCTGCCTCTCTTCATGGCACAATGGGGAAAGCCGTAATAAGGTATGGCCGAGGGTACGTACTGTGAACAACATATTTAATTTAATTATGTTTATTTTTATTATATATTTATTATTATCTTTTATATTATTATAATTATTTTTTTAGTATTTAGTATTTTACTTATTTAACCTGTTAAACCCGAGAGATCCCAGTACCGGGGCACTGCCGCAACATCTTGCAGGAAACAGTGTCTGAGGGCATGTGTGGGGACATTAACATGCTGTGTCAGATTGAGGCAGTCCAGAAGTAGCAGAAACTCAGTGGCAAAGTGGCATGAGGGGGAGTCGACGTGAATATTAAAATCTCCAAGTATGATAATATTGGCAGAGGTTGTGCATAGCGTAGTGAGAAGGTCTTGTATCTCTGGGATGAAAGCTGAGTTGGGTTTGGGTGGCCGGTACATCAGAAGTATTGTCAGGGCGAAGGGGGGTTTACATTTAAATGCAAGGCATTCAAAAGAGGACAATACAGGCAGGGGCACTAGTGACAGTTCCAATTCCTTTCGGTAGATGACAGCTAGGCCTCCACCACGACCAGTGCTGCGGGCTTTCTCCAAGTAGCTGTAGCCAGGAGGGCAAGCTTCATTGAGGGTGGAGTAAACCTCTGGCTGATGCCAGGTTTCCGTGAGGCACATGAAGTCCATTTTCTCATCAGTGATGTGGTCATGAATGAAGGATGCTTTATTACTTAGGGATTGTGTATTCAGAAGTTCTATTTTGGCTTTGGAAGATGTGCTGAATCTCTGTAGGGGCCGGAGTAGGCTGTAATCCACTCCACATTTTCCAGACTCCTTCGTGTGTGGCGGTCTCGCGATGCTCTCCGTGTATTCATGCAGCGGTCTCGCGATGTTTCTGGCACGATTTGACCCCGCCATGACCGGGCTCTGATGACGCGTCAGATGTGCGACACGACGGCAGACAGAGTGGATGGATGGAATTTCTGCATCTCCGTGCTGGGAATATACAGTTTGTCTTCTTCTTTGGCTTCAGTGGATATAGCGAGGCCGACGAAGAAGTCCAAGTTGTTTAATGACTGAGGTGCAGGTTGGAGCGTTGGAGTGGTTGAAACTCAGGAGTTGGGGAATAGAAAACCTCAACATGTCAACAGGTCGGGCGCCGAAGAAGTTTGGTAGTGGTGCTTAGCAGTGAGGGCTAACAGCAACGAGACAGCCGGGAGGCTATCCCGTTAGTAGACCTCACGTCTGGGAATGAAACAGAGGATTGGGAGTCCGCCTGCTATCACAGTAGTAGCGGGAGAGAGGCAAGCAGTCAGCCGGAGATAGTCGGCGAATTTGGGCGATACAGCAGGTGAGTTCCGACAGCCGTCGGGTCCAAAACCGTCAATAATCACGAGGTTTAAGATATAAAAGCACTTGTTAAACAGACTCAAGGTTTAGCCATATAACTATAGCTTAAAAGCAGATAAAATAGCTTAAAAGCAGATAAAAACCCTGAGGCGTAGGAGAAGCGGCGAACAAACAAGCGCCAGCGTCCTCTCCCGTCCAACTCCAACGTATCACGGCAAGACGTGAACATGTGACGATTTACCATGCTGGGAGACGTGAAGATGTCACGATTTCATCCCTTCAAACGTGACAGTTACACAGTATTGTTAACATGGCCCAACCAGTGGAGATATACCCGGAAATGCCAAGCAAATGCTACCCCGACGGTCGGTTGTTATTGTCAATATTAATATAATAATGATTTATTTTGTAATAGTCACACTCGATTTCGCCGATTTTCTTGTTGCCCCAGCTGGTCGACACCTTTTTTAGCAGAAACAAAGGCTACATTAATGTATTAAATCGATGTTAATCCATGTGTGTGGATGTGGAATAACGGACGTGATGTTGTGCGATTGCGTTGCCAGGCAACAGCTTCGGTTCATGTTAATTTACAAACTCTTCAACTAGAACCGTAGTTATATTTAAAAACATTTTAGAAGGCCTCACGAAATACTTTAATGTAAATTAAAATTTAAATGTGAAGGAATGTGTGTATAACAAAATACATCCGTCATAAAAAATACCGGAAACAGACGTAGGCAAGGTCCTCAGCTCGGTGATTCGATGGTTTAGCCGCAATGCACGTTGGGAAATGGTGTTTATGCGATGTGAAATCCGAAAACATTTAAAAAAAATAAAATAATACTTTATTCCGAGTGTGCTTGCTTTTCTCTTTGAAAGTCATCACATAACGGCATTGTAATACACGGTTCGGCTGCATTAAATATGACATATCTGCCGTAGTTCTGTATTTATAGAGCCCTGATGAGAAGATTTCTAGACAAACAGGAAGCACTGCCGCCAAAACTGAAAACGTGACGTGGATCATAAATATATCAGCAATTAAACAACATCTTACATTTCTTTTCACACAATACGTCTCCTTGCAGTATCAATACTAATTCGGCTGACTTTTATATTTGATCCAATTGGTAGATAGGCTGTATTTACACCATAACGGTGCACAGCTGATATAAAAGGACTTGTAGTTTTTAAAGATATTACTGATTTTCTTTGAATATAAGAATGTAAATACTGAGTTGAGAGAATAGTCAGGGGATTTGGGTGATGGGAGACACATCTATGGATTCAGAATTTCAATAGCTTACTGTTAAATGACGGATATACCTTTCTGTCTGTGATGTTTTACAAATCAGATATTAGAAGTAAAACATGTGAAATAATATAGCAATATCCTGTACAATTATGTGAAAACATGAATAAAACTACACATCTTCAGATGTTATACATACACAAGTGTCCTACACTGATAATACAAAGTTATTATGGCTGTGTGTACCTTGTGTGCACCGCCTAGTGGTTAAAGCACGTTATTGAATTAGTTGTGTATATGATATGTCAATGAACCTTAGAAAATCTTGAAATCTTGAAAGGGATATGCAAAATAGCCATTATATACAGTTTTTAATTAACTATTAGTAGAGAATAACAAGTAATGAATATGCTTTATAGGGATCTGCAGATAAATGTTTAGTCTTCTCAAGCACCAACTATCAAATATCTCTCCTGATTGTTGGCACTTGACAATCACCTTTCCCTGAATTTTACTCAGGTGTAACTAAAGCCTGATTCAAGGGTTGTTTATATTTCACATCATTAATCAGAATCTGCAAAGTAACTAAAATAAATGTAGTGGAGTAAAAATACCAGGTTAACCTCTGAATTGTAGTGGAGTAGAATTGCTGTTTTGTTTAGTAATGGATATTGAATATGGAATAAAGGTTTTGACAAGACCTGGTGTAACAATAATCAAAAAGGACATTAAAAGAGCTCCAGATGTCAATGATCTAAACAAAACAGAACACCTGAAATGTATATGTAAATACTTTATTAAGGGCAGTGAATTCATTTGTTCTGTATGTTTTTCAAATCAGTGTTATACAGTAAGTGTCATAGACAGTGTTACGTTGCTATTATTATCCTTAAAATATATGTAAAACAAAACCACTTATGATCTTTTTATTTGAGTGGTTTACTAATGTCAGTTAATTCTGTTTTTGCTATTGATGGTTTCATTTTTGTGAAAAATAATAAAATAATAAAATTCAATAACGTGCTTTAACCACTAGATGTGCCTTTCTATCAGCTGTGCACCGTTATGGCGTAAATACAGCCTATCTACCAATTGGATCAAATATAAAAGTCAGCCGAATTAGTGTTGATACTGCAAGGAGACGTATTGTGTGAAAAGAAATGTAAGATGTTGTTTAATTGCTGATATATTTATGATCCACGTCACGTTTTCAGTTTTGGCGGCAGTGCTTCCTGTTTGTCCAGAAGTCTTCTCATCAGGGCTCTATAAATACAGAACTACGGCAGATATGTCATATTTAATGCAGCCGAACCGTGTATTACAATGCCGTTATGTGATGACTTTCAAAGAGAAAAGCAAGCACACTCGGAATAAAGTACTATTTTATTTTTAAAAAATGTTTTCGGATTTCACATCGCATAAACACCATTTCCCAACATGCATTGCGGCTAAACCATCGAATCACCGAGCTGAGGACATTGCCTACGTCTGTTTCCGGTATTTTTTATGACGTTTGTATTTTGTTATACATATATATATATTCCTTCACATTTAAATTTAAATTTACATTAAAGTATTTCGTGAGGCTTTCTAAAATGTTTTTAAATATAACTACGGTTCTAGTTGAAGAGTTTGTAAATTAACATGAACCGAAGCTGTTGCCTGGCAACGCAATCGCACAACGTCACGTCCGTTAATTCCACATCCACACACATGGATTAACATCGATTTAATACATTAATGTAGCCTTTGTTTCTGCTAAAAGAGGTGTCGACCAGCTGGGGCAACAAGAAAATCGGCGAAATCATGTGTGACTATTACAAAATAAATTAAAAACATCTAATTTTGACAATAAAAACCGACCAATAGTCTTGGTAGAGCATTTGCTTGGCACTTCCGGGTATTTCTCCACTGGTTAGGCCATGTTAACAATACCGTGTAACTGTCACGTTTGAAGGGACGAAACCGTGACATATTCACGTCTCCCAGCATGGTAGATCGTCACTTGTTCACGTCTTGCCGTGATACCGGGTTGTATATTTTATTCTTTATCTTTTATTTCTATTTTTTTTAAATTATTATTTACTTTAATTTATTTTATTATTTCTTTCCAACATTGTCATACATTACCCCTGATTCTGATTGTTCTGCATGTCTCCTTATTACACATGCATCTCTAACGTGTGTGTGTGTGTGTGTGTGTGTGTGTGTGTGTGTGTGTGTGTGTGTGTGTGTGTGTGGTGTGTGTGTGTGTGTGTGTGTGTGTGTGTGTGTGTGTGTGTGTATGTGTGTGTGTGTGTGTGTGTGTGTGTGTGTGTGTGTGTGTGTGTGTGTGTGTGTGTGTGTGTGTGTGTGTGTGTGTTGGAGTAATAATCACGTTTCACGTCAGACTTGGAGCTGAATGTGTGTGTGATGTGTTTTAAAATCTACGTCAGAGAGAGAGAGAGAGAGAGAGAGAGAGAGAGAGAGAGAGAGAGAGAGAAGAGGGTGATGTAATGTTTTGGATGGATGCAGGATGGACTCACCTTGAGCAAAACTCAGACTGAGCGAGCAGAGCAGGAGGAGAGGAATCATCTCAACAACCTGCACAGAAACAGAGAAGAAGAAGTGATATTGTTGTGGCAATTCAGTACTCACAACAGGAAAGAATGAAACAGAGAGGAATCAATGAAACACAAACACAGAAATAGTTGAGATTAATCATTATTATTTAGTTGCGCACCACCAAACAACAATGGGGAAACATTACCTTGCTTCAACAGCAACCAATCGCAGAAATGCCCCCACAAACACAAGAAAACACAGGGCTAATATAGGTTTCCTAAATGACACACGAACATGTTCCCTAATCATGTTTAACGCACACACATTGTCAGGTCTCCTAAACTTGGACATGTTCCAGATGTCGAAAGGTCATTATCTCATGACTTCTTTCGGAGTCTTGCAGGATATGAATTATCCAATTAACAAACTATATATACGTCTGCACATGAACGCACATACATTTCTTACATTAACTAACACTTAACTGTATTATATCTAAATGTAGCCTCTTTGCATTTCCTCTGAGCTTGGCGTCAGCTCACTTAACGTAATAATTAGCAAAGAGACGATTCTATGGAAACTGTAACTTAATAACATACCTAGTTACTATGACTAGGTCCAAGATTGATATAACATTATCGTTTATAAAAGGAGAAATATATCAACTCCTGATCGGTGTTGTGCAAACACAGGAAGAGAATTAAGTACTTTGACCCAATTCTGATATTCAAGCAACATTTTAAAAGGTCAACTATTATACTAAATTCACTTATTAATGTATTTTCTACATCAACATGTGTCCCTCTGTGTTAAGAGATTCTGAAAGTGTCAGGAACAAAGACCCCCTCTCTTTCTGTCCTGATCCATCTCTATACAAACTGAAAGTCAGCTGATCAGATGTTGGTCTATATGTAGATATGTATTTACTTATTTATGGAGTATATTGTTGCTCTAGCGCTCTTTTTATGCATTAACAAGGTTTTATCCTGTTTTAAAAGACGTTTTATTAAAGTGTTTTTAGAGCCCAGCTGCAGCAGATCAGCAGCTGGGCTGATAAAGATTATCAGCTGATCAGGAGGTTAAACTGCCAGTGGATTTAAATGGATATAAATGGTCCCAAGTGTCACTTTTATCAATGTGAGTCTCATCGTTTAGTTTTATCACTGTGGGAACATTCCTGCCCCCAAAAAACGGCTCCCCCGGAGGTAACACACATGCAGATACAGAAGAAATGAATGCAAATTGACACAATTTAAGAGTAATCAATGCACGAATGGGTGAAAGAGACAGGTCCAAAAGCCACATCTTACCCTGTAAAGAGAAAAAAGAAAAGGAAATCCAGCTGCTCCTGTTGGGTTATCACTTGAAAACTTTTCCGAAAAAAGAGAGAGATCTCCAGACAGAAGTCCCCGATGTATGAGACTCTCAGCGTGTTTCAGCTGCTCCTCTTCCTCCGCTCTGCAGCAAGTTCAAATCCACCGCAGATCCTATGTGTCCCCGACATAAGAGAGGACACCTCCCCCGAAAATACGCCGCCCAGTGCGGGGAGAGAGAGAGAGATAGAGGGGGAGAGAGGGAAGGCCGGAGGAAGTGAGACTGGGGAAAGCCTGAGAGAGAGAGACTTAAAGAGAAAGGGACGACATTAAAGGGGACCTATCATGCAAAATGCACATTTCACATGTATTTTATACATAAATATGTGTCCCCGGTGTGTCAGGGAACTCACAAAGTGTCAGAAAATAAAACCCTCTCTTTTCCTCCGTGCGCAAATCTCTAAAAACGGGGGTACAACGGTGCTGAACGCCAGGATGCTCTCGATGGTCGAAAGGTAGAAGTTTACCAGCAGTGTCAGTCGTAGCCTGGCTTTTTTCAGTTTCAGTCGACAAGAAAAGTTGTTGCTGTGCCTTTTTCACCAGGTTTGAGGTGTTGGTGGTCAGATGGTTCGATATGCTGACTCTGAGGAACTTGAGGTCCTCCATGCTCTCTACTGATTCTCCATGTATGTGGACATACTACATATTGATATACACCTGACCATCAGCAGGAGAGGACTCTTTAAAGTAGAGACACTACATACTGATATACACCTGAACATCAGCAGGAGAGGACTCTTTAAAGTAGAGACACTACATACTGATATACACCTGAACATCAGTAGGAGAGGACTCTTTAAAGTAGAGACACTACATACTGATATACACCTGAACATCAGCAGGAGAGGACTCTTTAAAGTAGAGACACTACATACATGCATGGCAGTTTAAAATACAAATAAACAAAGAATACAGTTAAACAAAAGACTCATTTTCATATTATATCTTGTTCATGTTTCCACATCTTCCTTTCAGATCCAAAACCAATCAGTGAAATGACATGCTGGGGAAATGCCATTTCATTATTAATGAGGTTGTGTTTTATGCATTCGTTCTGGTTCTGGGTGCTTTCCTGAAGCTGTTTTTGCTCCAAAGACTCTCCGCTTGGGTAAAAGTAAATTAAAATGTTATGGTTTCCAAAGAGCCTAATGCACCACACACACTGAGTGATTACACAGTGTGTGTGTGTGTGTGTGTGTGTGTGTGTGTGGTGTGTGTGTGTGTGTGTGTGTGTGTGTGTGTGGTGTGTGTGTGTGTGTGTGTGTGTGTGTGTGTGTGTGTGTGTGTGTGTGTGTGTGTGTGTGTGTGTGTGTGTGTGTGTGTGTGTGTGTGTGTCATAACAGAAGCACAGAGGGCTCATTCACATGTCTCCTGGATCCAATTTAAGAGGATTTTTACGGGGGTCTATTGTCTTTCTGCTGCCGGATTGCCCAACATCCTTTCCTCATCCTGTCCTGAACATATTTTTATCATCATAGTCTTCCCACAAAAACCACTTTGGTTCACACTGAACTGTTGGATGGAGTGTGATGACATTTATCATCAGCATTTCAAGTTCCCCAAATCTCTTCCAACAGGAGAAATGTGCTGCAGCTTCAGAAAGGAGTCAGATATAAAAACACAAATGTTCCACATGAAGAAACATCTTCAGCAACTTGACAACACATGCAGCGTTTAGAAAACATTCAGCAACTTGAGGAAACATGCGCAGCGTTTACTAAAAGCTGCAAATACAAAACACTGAAGAAGCTCAAAACACAAGGGAGACCAGGGGACACTAAAAAATTATGCAAAAATGTAGCGACCTTGCGTGGGGCCCTTTGGATCACACCCACAAAGTTTGAGGGCCATGCACACCTGTTGACCCTATTAACACACTTAGGAGATATACATGTCCATGGTCACTTCAAATACATAACTGCCGGGTCTCGGGTATTTGAAATATACAGGCTCATATCTCGACAATCCCTTGACACAGGAAGCTGATCATGGGCGTCGCAGCCATTATATGAGGGTGGGACAAGTCCCCCCCACTTTTTCAAATGATTAGTTTAGACCCCCCCACTTTTACTATGCGGAAAGTCCGTGAATCGGTCTATCCACTCGCCGCACTTTGTAGAGCGCTGTGTCAGTGCTTCACTATCAAATGAAATCCATTCCACTTGCTTATTGAGAGAATGCCCAGATCAATGAAACTCCGTACCATGTTTTCACTGCTACTTTGTACCAAGGCAGATTCTCACATAGCGCGCGCATGTTCAAGGAGTGTTGTCATAGTTGGACAGCTCAGATCTGTTGTATGAAGCGATGCCGGTAGCGGAGGTAAGGCACACACACCAAATGTTCAGGAAATGGTTAATACAGCGAAAATCAAAGCTGACGATCTCTTGGTTTGATATGTTTTCTCCCCCAGACAACATGGACATAAGAACATTTTTTTCAAAGAAGAGGAAAATAAGTCATCAGCTGGTAGCAGTTAATCAGTTAACAGTGATGGCGGCGTCTCACTTCTGGAGAGGAGTTTCGTCTTTATGTCATGATAGAGAAATACAAATACTGAATAGTTTAGATGAGAAAAAGGCATCGAAATGCCAGGTTACTAGTATTTATCATGTAAACAGGGAACATGAATAACCCGATCTCTCTGTGCTCATGTAAACACCATATCCCCAATATGATCATAACCGGGAAAATACTCATAAACGGCTTACTGATGTCCATGTACAGTAGAGACGCAGTCAGTGTGTTTTACTGGAGCCTCAGTTCGATAAGAGATTATTTTCTGAGTTCTTTAACTTAGGTACTCTCTCTCAAAATGGTAATGTGCATTATGTTTTAATTATACTTCTTATCATTCAGAAGCTTTTTGTGTGTGTTTATATTTTACTGAGTGCTTATAGGCTATTTCCATCCCAGTATTCAGTTAACTATTTATTTTCTGTGCACATTACATAGACTAGCTAATATTCTACCTACTGCTTGGGACTTTGAGTCTTCAAAATGTCCAATGTCACAGACTGCGACTTACTTTAGAGTCAGTTGTATTTACATTCAGTATGACTTGTTATGATTCAATGTGAAAGAATATACTGCTCAATAAATAATTATCACTTCACCACCTCTCTTGACATCTAGGCACTTGAGAGTGAGTCAGAGGCAGAATGCAGGGACAGTGGAGAGAGGTCCATTGCTGAGGTGAGTGATGAAAGGGAAATGACAGTTGAGAGTAAATTGTGATGTGGACTCTCATCCCAGGATTTTAAGGAAATCAGTGGGGATATTGAACAGGAAACATTTCAGTCAAGGGGCATCATATGACCAATATAGACAGAAGAGCAACATTTATTTGAACATTTAAGTCAATGATACCATTCCTAGGTGAACTTAACATCCGTATGGAGTCAGATCAGTCTCAATATTAATAAATGCTCACAGAAGGATTCACAAATGATTTTGCGATTTATATATAAATGACTCTCCACAACAATATCTCTCAATGCACTCACAAATAATTATTGTTGTATATAAATGTACAAAAAATGGGCATTTAAACTGCTTTTTATTAATTCAAAGACGGCTCTGAATTAATAATCAAATATGTTTCCTTTCTTTACTACTGGATGAAATTACAAAATGTACCCATCATTTTCCTCATGCTAGTATAGCCACATAAAAGTATCAAACCACCTGTTAAAATGCACCAGAATACAGGAAATCTAGATTTTTTTTCGCCCCCACACCCCCCGTTAAAAATGTCCCCCCCACATTCAGGATGCTTCCTACGCCCATGAAGCTGATACTTGAACTGTGTCATGCCTCCAGCCCCTGGATTGAGTGTGTCGATTTCCGAGATGATTGGAGAACCTTTACCACAGGTCGTGTAGTGATGTATTTGAGGTGTACTGTCCACATCGCAGACCTGAGATCCTGCTGTCATGTATTTGTACTGTACACTTCAAATACTTAACCGCAGGATCTGGGGTATTTGAAATGTACAAGGTCATATCTCAACAATGCACTGGGACTGGAAGCTCACACTTGAACCATGTCACGCCTCCAACCCTCGGATTCAGGGGTGTCAAATTGGAGACATTTAGACAATTTCAAATTTTTCCCGCTCTTTTTAAACAAACATGATCTTTCAAATAAATGCTGAAGTGTTACTCGGATTGGCATGAAAATCGCTGCAGCAAGAGATGAAGCAGGCCGAGTGAACAATCCATCGTCACATGCATCGTGGAGATGTGACTGTTCATGCATGACTGCAGCTTCTGTCTGAAGTTTAAGGGAGAAAAAGGTAGATTTTAGATGGAATAATTAACAGAATAATATTCCATGACATAAAAGGCCATGTCACAATTAACAAGGGAAACAACATTTTCAAATTATCCCGAAAATCATCAAAATTAAATGTTTTAAATGCCACAAAACATATTTAATGCACTACAAAAAGATAACGTGTTTTCTTTATGTAAAGCAAAGACCTTCATCATCAGCACAGAGTCAGTTGGGTTCAGATCAGTGATTTTATTTCTACTTTCAGAATATTTATAATATTTATTTCACTGTTGTAGTGTATCCTGCTGTTGGAGTCGGCAGGCCTGTATTAATTATTCTGGCAATTAATCAGACCTACTAATTGACCTAACAGAAGCTATTGAGTCTATGTAAGTTTACTGCCAGGCTCGGATCCACCTGGATCAGCAAGGTCTCACCTCTACTAACTTCTGAAGCCCTTCAGTGTTATGATGTTGTATATTAATATAATCTTGGATTATAATTACTGATGCATGGAATGTGGTAGCAGCAGTACTTTAAGGTTGCCAGCCACAATGCTTAAATAGTTTCTTTCTGCTTCAGAGAGCTGAAGTTTGTATATATCACGCAGTCTGTCTTCCGGTTGCCTCTTTTTAATGACGAATACACACTACCGCCGCCTGTTGGTAAGGAGAGTTATTGCCATTCACGCATGCGCAGTGCGTACGTGCTACTTGGCCGTCGGCTGAAGTCTTTGCGGTGTGTTCCAGTGCGACTGTTGGCTAAGACGCAGGAGACGTGAGGCGACACAACAGTCGGGTCCGTCGGGACGTGTTCTTTGGTGTCAGTTTGGTGTGTCAGGGCCTTGAGGTGAGGTCCTACCTAAGTGTGAGTGTGGCAGTTGTGCAATCTTACCTTAAAGCAGGAGAGGACAGCGCAGATTTATTTTAAGTTATCCCAGTCCAAAAGGGTGGGATGATTTTATTTTAAGAAAATGGTCCACACTTTTACAGGGTTTTTACCTCCTCTCGTTACAATGTGACAATCATACAAAATATTTCATGCTGTGGTAAATTACTAAATCTCTCTTCAACTGTCACTCTTCAGTTGCATTAAAAACCTCTTCCGATGGAATTCAGAGGAAAACCCTCATAGACTACCAGGTGTGAAATCAAATACATTAAAATCTCTTCAACTGTCCCTCTTCAGTTGTGATACGAAATTCAACGGCCCTTTTCCGTTGGTAATATTAATATCTCTTCAAGAGTACTTAGGAAAAACCCCACTCTGAAGCTTTTCCTCTCTCAGCTATAGACCTTTTATGCTCCACACAAGGACAGAAAACCAAAGACACACCTACATACCCATATATGTGGGGAAAGGTCATGACCTCTGGTGTGCGAGACGGGACATATCCAGACTTGTCTCCTATGGTATGGCCTAAACACATTTTGGGGATCCAGTACTTTTCCATTGAGTCAGGGGTCTCCTCTGTACAGTCTGCTGTACGTGAACACAACTGTCTCCCCTCTGCTAAACAGTGACACCCATAGTGATAAACTTTAATAGGCCTTAAACTCAATTTTCCAAACCACTTACATTTTGTATATATTGTGAGTATAGAACAACATGAAATATAATGCATTTTCATTGTGGGTTATATAAGATTATATTTGATTATATGAACTTTCGTATTAATTATTCAACTCAATATGGAATCCTCAACGAAGCCACATTTTGGAGAAATCAATCAATTTCTTACAAAAAGTTACATTTGGAGGAAAAAGTCAAGATTTGGAGGAAAAAGTCAAGATTTGGAGGAAAAAGTCATTATTTGGAGGAAGAAGTCAAAATGTGAGAATAAAGTCAAAAACTCTGAGAAATAAGTCAAATTTTGAGAAAAAAAATTGAACTCTCAAAAAAAGTTAAATTTTAAGGAAAAAGTCAAATTCTGAGAAAAAAGTCAAAGGCGCTTACCTGAACAGGTAAGAGTCAGGAAAAGGGAAGAGGAAGTTGAATATGCACACTCCCTCAGAGCAGCTGCAGACTGAGCACAGCCAGAGATGATCCACCACACAGGTCTCTCTGAGGACACCACTCTCTGTGCGACATAAATAGCAGAGCCACAGTCCAGATCTCTGCAGAGAACTTTTGCTTCCTTCAGGGTCCAGGAAGGAAAAGCATGCACTGGTCTCCATTCTCCCTGATGTTCCACCTCCAGGTCTCCTGCACAGCGACTCTCTCCTCCCACCAGTCTGACCTCATCAGGCTCTGAAGAGAAACAAGAGAGTGATCAGAGAGAGAATAAAGTGAGTTGATGATATGAACCAATCACAGCTGCAGCTCCTCTATTTTGGATTCTATTTAAATGTATATCAAATTCCAAGGTTTTATTTGAATATGCACCTGAGCTACAGGTTAGAAATGGCAATGAGGAATTGAAGTGAAAACAGTCACAATTTCGAGAAAAAATGTTAAAGGAGAGGTGTCATGCTTTTCCGGTTATTACCCGTCCCCTTGTGTTATGAAGGTATTTATGCATGTAAACGGTGTGCAGAGTCAAAACCCTCAAAGTACACCCTGTAGCGAGTAAAACTCTAACACAGAAAATACCTCCCCAAAACGCCTCGTTGGAGATACGTCATTGTCCATTTGATTCTTCCGGGTACGGCATGATGTCATGCCGTACCCGGAACGAAATGGACCAATCCGTGGAGCCGTTACGTTACATCCGCGGAGCCGTTACGCTAAGCCCCCGCTGATTGGTCCAAATTGACACACACAGGCAGCTCTGCTGATTTCTCCTCCCTGGCTGCAGGCTGATAACAGACAGTTGGGATCGCGGCAACATTCTGGTGAGATCTCAGATTTGGCGTAGAGCTGTTGAGGCATGGACCGGTGTGGCAGAGAGAGAGAGAGAGAGAGAGAGAGAGAGAGAGAGAGAGAGAGAGAGAGAGAGAGAGAGAGAGAGAGAGAGAGTGTGTGTGTGTGTGTGAGTATGAAATGAACAGTTAGAACTGACTGCTGTCAGTTGGAGTGATGACATCATCGTGTTCCATTACACAGGTGTTTATAGTTGAGCAAAAGAGCTATGAAGAGATCAAAGGCTTCATTGTTCTGAATGAGAGATGAACCTCTTACATGTGAACGTTTTGTGGAAGAACGATAACAGATATCTGTGAAATTTCAAAACGTGAAGCATGTCAAGGAAGTTGAGTATCTGAAGTGTAATTTTTGTGTACTTTCGGGTTAATAATGTGGCCTTTTTGGCAGTTTAACTAAAGGTGTGCGGCTGCTGCTGTGAG